GGGGGGGGGGGGGGGGGGGGGGGGGGGGGGGGGGGGGGGGGGGGGGGGGGGGTAGCGCAATGGGGAAGGCGGAGGGGGGTATTCGCCGCAAGTCGCAGGCGAAAAAATATGTCCAGCAGTAGGGTGTGGTGGCGGGACGTGCGCTGCTGGCTGGTACCCATGGACACGTTGCTGTGGCGTAGTGGCCTTGGTCCTCACGATTCACATACTGTGTGCGACGAGAAGGGTGCCCAACGAAGGATAGGGGGCGCACTCCCACCCGCCCTACGAATCCACGTGTTCAGTGCGTCGTGTGCAGCATTTCCGACGTCTCTCCAGCACTGCTTCTTCAGTGTTTTTTCCTAAGCATCGCGTGCAGTCTTTCCTGTTTGTTTTTTTGCAAAACCATACGCCAAAAATACGGCAGCGTTCGTTCCCGAACTCAGAACCGAGCGGTAAAGTTGCAAGACTCGCCCGAGCTTTTCTATACAGGTGCACGGCAGTACGGAACGCCACACCTTAATTCCTGGCAGTTTTTAGAACTTGAGCTTCATTCAAACACAAAATTTACGGACTTGGCCTTACAAACAGGTACTCAACCATCGAAAAGGAACGAGCGTGGGCCAATTAAGAGGTTCTTGAGTGACGGCGCACTGTGTGTGCATGCAGCAGTAGCAAGACAATCGCAGCGACTATGTTCCACCGCTCTGTCGTGGTCTGTCTCCCTCTCTCACACAGGCGGCCTCGGTGTTCACGACGGCGATAGTGACCGGGCGCAGCAAGGACAAGGTCTATAACTTCGTGGGGCTGGACGACGTGTTTTACGCGGGCAGCCACGGACTCGAGATCCAAGGCCCGCTGGACAGGCCGGTCAAGTGCCAGGTGTGTGCGTGTTTGTGTTTGTGTATATTTTTTTCAATCAGCACTGACCGCGCTCGCCGGGTGACTAATGAAAATCTGTCCGCCTTGAGTAGCGGAATATAAAACGCTTACACGCTTTGTAGTTATTGGTGTGTGTGTGCCTTAATTAATAGTAGTATTAGCATCTCTCTAGCCGTTTGTTTCATTTTTTTTTTTTTGCAAAGAGTAAGAACCAAACCAATTTCAATCCACAGATAAAAGAGTCTAGGAGAAAGCTAGCAGGTGATTTTAAATGTTTCGTGACGTGAGTGTGGTTAGTTCCCGGTGCTTGGCATCGACCGTGTTAGCCGGCTGACGACTATAATCCAAAGAACGTCCGTGTCAGCGAGCAATAAAAAACTAGCATCCTGAACACGGGGCAAATTTATTAGGAAGCGCATCGACCGCGCTATTTATTGATAAGCCGGCTGACCAATGAAGAGGCGTCCGACTTAGAAACGCGAACACGCTTTCGTGCGTCATGTGTTGTTTTTTTTTTTCTCGCAAGATGGCGGAGGACATGAGGCCAATGCTCGAAGCAACCACCGACGCCCTTCACTCTTTTCTCGCCCACATCCCGGGGTACGAGATAGAGGACAACAAGGTCAGTCTGTTAGGATGTACAGCATGTTCACGAAGCCACAAGTCAGCGCTGACTCTGACTTGTAGTATAGTGGATTTGCTGCACACCGTCACACAATCACTCCAGGCAGTCAGGTACTCAGCCAGACTACACACGAGATTAGACGAGATGAGTCAGTACGAGGTGGAGGGCAACAAGGTTAGTCAAGTCATTCAGGTATCAGCCGGACCAGCGTAGGTGACATATGATACCGCACTCCCAGGACTTTTTTTCAAAGCTCGATTTCCCCTACAGCAGAACGAGTGGCAGCAACGAAAATGGCGGCGTTGGAGCCATCTTGTCTGAACCTTTACGAAAACGTATCGTTTCATCCATGCATTCTCTTCGTCGTGAAGAAATCGGGCTTTGCAAATCGGTCCACGGGCGTGTGGTGTCTCACCTGTCCTGCGGGATTTACCAGCCAATTTTATGTAACAAGCTTGACCGAACTGGCCTTAGATAGAGTGGTTCTTGAGACCTGATGGACGGGATGAAGGATAAGCCTCTTCAGCTTACCAACAAACCGGTGTCGAGGTTTGTTCAACTGGGACAACATGGTGGATTTGCGAGAGTAAGTGTTTGGTAATACGTGATGTTAGACCGCAGGAAGTTGTCTGTTTGTCGTAGGGGTAATTCCATGCGGATATTGGAGTTTGTGGCAGACACAAGCGCTTCGGCTGTAAAGCTCAGAATTACAACTGCATTTGTGGCGGACACATGCACTCAATTGTTATCAGGACAAGAATCACAAACATGAGGAGACAGACCACAGTCGTGCTGTTGTTGTTGTCGTTGTCTGTTGTCTGTTGTGGTTCATCTTCTTGCTGCTGTTCTGTCAAGAAACGCTGATGTTTGACCTCTACCTAGAAAACCAACCCAGCTATCCCCCATGTTCCACGTTTGCCAGACCGCCAACAAACGGACTATTTTGTTGCGGCGTCGAAGTTTTGACAGACATATCTTACTGGACCAGCCGTACCAACGTCGCCGCGCTGCGGGTTTCCAGGAGACCCGTCCCCTTTCCCCTGTCCCTTCTCCTTGCTTCAACATTCAACCCGCACCTCAGGCTATCAACGATCCCAGTCAATATCTTGGCGCCGAGTCAGTGCACCCTGTCGCAAACAACTAACGGGTACGTTGTTTTTGGTACGACCCTGCCCTTCTCCCCACTCTCGTGTCGTGATTGCTGTTGTCCTGTCAAACTGCCGCGTGTTTTTCTTCGAAAAAGTTTTCCCTGAGCGTCCACTACCGCCAGGTGCGGTCCCCACCGCACGTGGAAGAGCTCCACAAGATAGTCCACGAGTACGTGGCCACTGCCCCGGAGATCGTGGTGAAGGCGGGCAAGAAGGTTCGTGAGAGCGACCCACCGAGGACGTGTTTACTGTTGGTAACCTCCCCCCCCCCCCCGCTTGTCTGTCGGTTACAACGTCGGTGCCGCCGGCCGTGATTTCGATTTTTGGTTTCTGATTGTCTTCGTGATCTGTTTATGATGCGATGAACAAGAAGGTTCGCAGACAGGAGTTGGGCCTAGTTGTTGGGCTTTCTCAGTGGCGTTTCGGACTTTTTTTCGGTTACAAAACATTGCATACGAAGATGCACCGAGGGGGGGCTCTGCTGTCCTCTGACCAGGCAGCTGCTGCTGCTGTACGTACGGCACGTGCTATCACGCAGAAGATTTGTCGACGGTTGTTTATATTTGTTGTTTCCGGGATGATTATCTGTCCCAAAGTTAAGCCTGGTGTCAAGGGTAACATTACAGGGATCCACTACTGTAAGGAGGATACCAACCACTCGGTCCGGGCGTAGGAAGTCGTCATAAAAACTTAAGGACGGTACAAACGTTCCTCTCCCCCGGCCATGGTGATACACCAAATATGCAACGCAAGGCAAAGTGAGCGGCGATTGCTGGCATGCAAAGGATGGAGACGGTTTAGACTGCCTAGTGTGGTTGTCAGTATTGAAGTCAAGGCATTGGTCCGTCACCCTTCTGCCGTGATTGTCCGCCATACCGCGTGGTGAAACTCCATCGCACGCTACATGAAGGACACACGATCATAGTAATACCTCGCCTCCCCCCCCTCCTCTGCCAGGTGTTGGAACTCCGCCCGAAGGTGGACTGGAATAAGGGCAGCGCCGTGAACTGGATCTTGGACGCGTTGGACTTGGGAAGCCGGTCAGACGTGTTCCCCATCTACCTCGGCGATGACATCACGGACGAGGACGCCTTCGTGGCCATGGAGACCCGGTAGGTTGCAATCAGGGTCCTTTCGTGTTTTCAATTGATTTGGATGTCCTGAAGTTTAGTATGGGATGGGCCAGTGACCGTCAAACGCTGTTGCCTTCGTTTATTTTTTTTTCCTTGTTTTTTTTTGTTGGTCGCATCGTTCGTTGGGTTGGGCGTTGTCGGGTTGGGACACACGCGAAGAGGGTCGTTTTTTTTTAGTAGCGACATGGATGTCAGATTGACCCTCCGACGATGGCTAGTGCTGCCGCGAAGAGCCACGCCAATGCGCCGAGTACCGCTCTCACCGGACATCAAATTTGCAGACAAACAGGGCCCATTGCTGCAGAAGTGTGACAGAAACACGGCAAAAAATTAGTCGGCACACGAGAGAAGTGGGATGGGTAGCTTTTTTGTCCTACGTGGACGTACATACACATGGCACGGGATCATGGTCGTCGCGCCTGTATTTACGCCGCCTCTGCATATTGCGGTGCCCCCCCCCCCCCCCCCCCCCCCCCCCCCCCCCCCCCCCCCCCCCCCCCCCCCCCCCCCCCCCNCCCCCCCCCCTGCCGCTGATGTAGGGCTTGCGGAGGCATGGGCATCCTGGTGAAGGAGAAATTCGACCCCGAGCGCCCCCCAGAGACGAACGCTTCCTTCTCCCTTCGAAACCCCGACGAGGTCCAGACGTTCTTGGCCACGCTAGTGTCGCACGCCGCCACCGTGACGCCAGCCAAAGCTCCTACCGCCACCGCCGCCGGCGACACGTCATGACAGTAGGCCGTCCGGTACTGCTGCTGCTGCTGCTGCTGCTTATTTGCGTGTGGGTCGTTACCAGTGCGTGGATGCCTTGCGGTTACACGCCCCTTGGCCGCGCGATCCAATCCGCTGGTTCGTGACGATATATATGGCCATGACGATGTATCTGGGTCTGTTGCTACCCTCAGTGGGGAGTGTGCCCTGAGCCTCCATGTTTTTAGCATGTCGTGGTAGAGGTTTCGTTTTTTAGGCCATCCATCCCCTTTTGAATGGTGAGATGTCCTGATTGAGCTTCCGCCGGCCGCAGACCACACGTGGTCTGTAGACCCTGGGATGGGAAGGTCGGCGCGATGGATACGTCGCTGCCTTTGCGACGATCCAGCTCGCCTCGGCTTTAAGGTTCAGGCTTGAGGCTAAGGTCGAACGTTCGTTTCCTGTTGAGGCAATATTGCAGGGTGTGGGGGCCCCGTGCTATGATAGCGTCGTGATTGAAAACAACGAAGGGTAGTCACACTTTCCCTACTCTAAAATGCAGTTGTCCCACGTTTCCTTTCGGTCAGGTTGACGGGGATTCCCCGTTTTTTTTTTTGTTTTCTTGTTTTCTTGGCGGGGGCCCTCTCGTTTTTTTTATTTTGTTGATGTCTTACATGATGTTGCCTGGGTGTACACTACTAGACATGTGTAGTGATGTCAACTTAGCTTTAAAAACTTGTGAATTGCGGTTTGGTTCTTGCTCGACAGTCAGTCATTTGAGAAGACAATGGGCCTTGGTGAAGGCGAGGAGAGGCGGGAAGAGGGAGAGGGGAAGGACAGCGGTGTGGTACGTGCCATCGCAAGGGCTTTGTAGCCCCCGCCACCGTTAGTAGAGGGGGGACGAGGTTTTGCGGCCGCTTGCGGGTGGGAGGTAAGAAGGCGCGCGAAGTGGGTACACGAGGTTAGTTCGAGGGCATGGTGAGGACGAGATAGGTGGGCTTGGTGTGGAGCTTTATTAAGTCAGGGCTTGGTGCGGGGAAAGTGCGCGCGTCACTTTTTTCTTGTTGGTGTTGAGGCTAATTCGTGGGCGCTCGTTGACGCTTCTCCCTTTGTTCCCTGTTGCTTGCCGCGATCTTTTGCTGCAGCCTCATTTTCAAGCGAAGATAATGATGAGGTCAGCATCTTTGAGGTTTCCTCCGGTCGCAGCTTTATTTGGACAGACAAGATTGCAATTTTCTGTGTTATTTTGTGTTTTGTCATATTTTTGGCCGTGCCGTAAGAGTTTGGCCTGATGCCCGAAGGTATCTTTTAACAGTACCTGGTTTATGTCTTTTATCGTCTCCTGGCGCGCGGAGGTCTGGAATATATCAAGCGGACGTGTTTTTCCCCTGCGCCTCTTGATCCCTCCCGCGTTCACAACCCGTGCACGATTCTTGTTTTTTTATCTTGTTCTTTTCTTTGCTCGGCTGATACTACTGGTGTTTCGGCGCTCCCTAGGTATGTGGTTAATGGCGTTGTTCTTCAGCGGTTTTCGGGAACAATGCCCGACGCTGATAGGTCCAAAGAAGAAAAGCAATCCACGGTGCCCCTCCGTCTCTCGGTGGTGGCCATGAGTGGTCGGGGCCTAGAGAAACGGGGCGCCTGTGCTCGTTTGGCGTGGTCATGGGCGTTCCGTGGATCAAATGTACCAGAAGAGGGGAGGAGGTAGAGTTTTTCATTTTCGTCGTGCGGATTGGAGTGGCATTGGAATGGGCTGGCGGGCAGGCGGTGATGGGTAATAAGATTAGGAATCGAATGGTGATGGGAGGCCGGTCGTTCCAAAACGCCTGTTTGTCCGACAAACAAAAAGATGTGAGTAGGCAAAAGGAACAAAGCGTGGGGTAGAATGGTTACTCTCTTGCATGTTTTGCCTTTTCTTGGCATGATAGTGCCCTCGGCGGGCCACTCGCAGTCACTATCTTTTCCTCGCCGATTTTTCTTGATATTAACCGTTCTGTGTTCGGGTGAGGTGTATGTGGGGTAATGCAAGTGCGCCCTCCCCCCCCCGCGCCTTGTTTTGCGTGACTTCACCGAGTTTGGGCTTCGCGGGTGAGGTGGTGGGGTTTATAGAGAGAATCGGAGGCGGGGGACAGTCGTCCTCCCACCTCCCACCGTCAAAGCGAGGAGTTGACTGCCCAAACACACATCAGAGCTTGTAATTTACCGTACGTACCCGGTGCTTGGGGTCCGAACGAGGTGCAAAACGTTTCCATCCTGGCAGCAAAAATGTTTTTTGCTTGCGGTACGGGTGTCAGGGTCTCACCGACGGTGGGGTGGATTTGCGATCCCCATATGGTGCTCAGGATGGCACGGACGCGTGTGGATTATCATTTTTCGCCAAGCAGTGTATGCCTCGCGGTTCTTCGTTTCCCTCTGCGCTGATCAAGCTCAGCTGCCGAGGAAGCTCGCTGGAGATGGCCGCACATTTGACAGCATCTCTTGGTGCATGTGGGGGAATCCTAGATGATTTCCTCCGCGCTTGCTTACGACGATAACATATATCTGCGTCTTTGTCGACAATGCTCGGCGGAGTGCCTCCCATCATCATCTGGCTGCACGCCGGTCACTACAGCACCCGAGTCGGCACAACAAGCACAGCATAAAAGTGCTAAACTATATCACCTCCTTGAGTGAGGAAACGTGTTCCCTGAAAAAAATCCTACACAGCGCAACGCCACTTGACAGAAAGAACGACCAAGTCGACTGCCCACGCCCCGCGGGCGGCAGGTGGAGAAACTTCAGCAGGCCAGGGAATAATAAAAGAAGAGCCGTTCACAAGAAAATACGATGGATGATGCTCTCCCCGCTGTCTTCGTACTCTTGCCGGGAGACTTGTAGCTGCCATCAGTGGGACAGGGTTTGTTTCGATCCGTCCGGGGCGTCAGTTTGTAGAAGTGTAGTGGCGGCAACGTTCAGGGTACAACAGCGGGGCAAGAAGACGCGCAACAGCGCAGAGGGGGGAGCAAAATCAGGAGGAACATGTTCACTGGATTCACTACTCAAGCAAGCAGCGAGGCAAAGTTTAACTGCACACCCCAAAGTTGTAGTTAAGTGAAAACCCCTGTCTTGTAGCCCCGTTGCTGAGTGGTCCCAACAACACCGACTATCTTTCACGCATGCCCACAGGTATCCATTCGTCGTACAGCCGACATGCACCTGCTTGAACGGTGACAGCGACGCCAGCATCGAACCTCCTATCCACGGCGCGTGCTTTCTCTGCGCGTTGTAGCCGGGTTCGTGGCTCGTAGGGTGCGGTATGACGCTCGCCATCATGGATGCCCCCGGCGGAGAGACCCGGTCCAGATCCTCTTGAAGACGCTCTACGAACCCCGGCATCATCGTCGTTCCTCCCGCCACCACAACGGAACCCAGGAGGTCAGGATTGATATCCTGACGGGGTGTTGGTTGGGAGGGGCCGTTATGGCAATAGTCTATCCGCTCTTTGATAACAATTCCTTAAGCAAGCGTGAAAGCTCCCGCCACAACCAACCTGAATGCCTTGCCTAGAACTACCGTTCAGATCCTCGTACTCAAATCCCATAACAGATGCACCACCGTCCTTCGTCGAGGAACGTGACTCGTACGGCGGGTGCATGCACATTGTTGATGGAACTGAAACAAATTCCTTTCACAGAAGCTGTACTTTACCCGCCTACAACTGTGCAGTACGGCCGAGGAGGCTGCGGCTGCGCGCGCGGAAATAGCCCGTCTTTCGAAAAGTCGCCCATCTCTCTATCTACTGTACTTGCTGAGCCTTAGTTTCCCAATTGTACTTCGAGACGAACTTGTCACACACCTTGTCACACATGGAGATGCTTTGCATGACCATGCTCGCAAGACCGCCGTCTGTTGCCCGCGCCGCGAAGTCCTTGCCCCCAGCGTCAGGGTTAAAAATAAGCTGCATTTCGATCGATCGTGAAGGGCGAGGTGAATCATGGAGGGGTTGCGCTCAAAAAGTACGTGCAATATCGAGCGCGCCAACCTCCTCCCACGAAAACAGCGTGCTGGCCTTCCTTTTTTCGACCGTCCCATCTCCGTGTCATGCTCGATTTTCGGGAACACGTAGGCGGCCCGTGTTCGCCGACAGTGAATACTATAGTAACTTTAAATCATGAGGGAGCGAACACTTGTTGTGCATGTTCTCCACGATCGAATTTGCGACCTTTTCAAGGATCAGAAATCGATTTCTGGTCGAATGTACGTGGTACGACGGTGTTGAAAGGTTCGACGAGCCAATAAATCTGATACCAGGTAGCAGCTTGGGGAGCACCGGGAACTATGAACGCTTAGGTGGTTGTCTTCGGAGTGAAAGTAGTGGTTCCCCGCATGAGTTTCGCTGAAGGTGCACATCGCCATTCAGCACAATCGGTGGTGCAATCTTGGTGATGTCCAACAACCAAAATACTACCTGAAGAAACCCTTCGCAAGACTTAGTCACTGTGTGTGGGTGTGTTACCTCTGCAGCTTGGCTGCGGCATTCCGAGTCTAGGGTGACCGTGTTCCCGTCCGGCAGTTCGTACTCGTCCTCGCCGGGGGCAACGCCGCGGTCTGTCGGGATGTAGCAAAGCCTTTCTTTGACGTCTCGAACCGTATCGAACTGCACCAAATTGGATACCGTTTTAGGTTAGCAACACGCGGGGGAGTTCTTGACGTCAGAATAAGCTGTCAAGAGTACCGACCGGCCGAAGTACACGAACGAGAGCTAGCATGCAGCGGTTTAGCGACAAGGAAAGGCCCTCTACGCCTATTGTCCATCCCGAGCGCCGCTCAACTCCTGAGTTAGTTCACTACGTTCAGTTCAGTATGCGCTATCTATCATCAACGAAATCCTTGAAAAGTGATGATTGGACTTGAACGCGTTGCCCCCCCCCATGGCGCTATTGACCATCGGCGGTCGGTTCTGTGGAAACGATGCTCCGTCCTCTTTTAGGACGCGTGGTCAGTGGTATAACCGCTAAGGCACACAGAACATGAGAGTACCCCCCCTCCCCCCTCCTTGGTCCGCACCTTCGGGTAGCAGGTAGCTACGGCTCCCCCGGCCATATCAGTAGCAACATGTCAACACTGCTCACCGGCAGGTGGTGTCCCCGTTCCTCAAGGAGGCCTTTCAATCGATTGGTGATGTCTTGACCCGCCCCCTCCAGCCTCAGCACGGCGTGGTTGAGCGCGAAGCCCTCGAAGACGGGGACCGCGTGGGCGACGCCGCCCCCGACCTCGAGGGCCAACCCGCGCGTCCTGCCGGAGGCGAAGAGCGCCAGCACGGAAGAGTTACACACGCTGAGAGCCGGTACCTATGAGAAAGAGCGGCACGTCAATCAGGGGACCCGAAAAGAAGCAAGTTTTTGCAAAATTACGTTCCTGGTCGGTTTGAACGGTAGTAGGTGGTTTCCCCCCCTTCAACGCGGGTCACTCGCTACGAGAGGACGACACCTCTCGGATAGGGACCCAAAAAGAATCGAGTTTGGAAAGGTGTGTTCTGTTGCTGGTCGGTTTTGAACGGTGATGGTTGTCCCTTCGGCGCAGGTTACGCCTTGCGTTCTCATCTAGGTTTCGTCGGAGCCAAACGAGCTAGGACGGAGAAGGGTGGTGTGGAAGCGGAGCACCGGTACCCACCCGTGATCGACATGCTTGCAAGGCACTCTGTATCAAATCGGGAGGCGACGTGGAGGTAAATGTGTCCCACGTTCAGGTGTCAAAAATGTATCGGCAATCCGAGTACCTCGTTTAGTGTGATTTGCTAGCTCGATACATGTGCCGCAAAGACGCTGCCTCTGCTTGGACGTAAAACACAATCAGCCACTGAGACTATTTTCAAAATATAGACGGACGCAATGTCGTCCTAAATAGCAACAATGACGAGTGCTGTTATGAGCTCGCAAGTATGATCATATAACGGGCAAACATGTCTTACCCTCCGTTCGACAACCCTGCACAAATTTTCTGTGAGGCAAGTGCTTTCACACGCTATATGTTTGTTGTTGGGAACTCTTCCACACGTGACTGCGGCACCTCAAACTAACCTCGGCACGCCGATAATAAAAGCATACAAGGCGACTTCGACTTCAGGGAAAATGCATCGAACCAACTCCAGCCACGGTACAGTGCAGTCCATCCCTAATACGATAAACTTGTTTCATTTTCCGAGTACCAGGAGCCAACCAATACCTTGAAGGTCTCGAACATCATTGCAGCCATCTCCTGCCGTTGCGACCGCTCGTTTAAAGGTGGCTCCACCATCAGCACCTGCAAAGACGGCGCATGAGGGCCGTTTTATTCAGCAACTATTTGTTTCCCAAAGTTTCCAAATTTCCCAATCCGTAGACCATCGAACCTCGATTTGGGTCCAAGGGAAAAAATTGGAAGTCTCGAAAGCCGGTGTCATGGAAAAGCACATGATGACCATGTACGAGTCAATTTTCAGTAGCACTGCTCTTGTATCGTAGATCTCATATTTATCGATTCACATGTAACGTATGTCTATTCGGAGGAACTACTTTCCCAGTATCTCTGCTGACGGATCGTGTGTCTCACTCTCATGTGGATCTGTGGACCGTGATGGCACCTTTTCTGTCATCTCTGGGAGGCTGCCGGCATCTGGTCTCCAGCGTTCTTTGTGGATTACTGTATCAATGTACTGGCCATCTAAGCGCCAGTCTTTACCATATCACAGTACTTCGAAGTGCCAAACAACTCTTTCAAAGGAAAAGCACATCTCGCGCAGCGATTTTCGCCTATCCACAATTACCATCATCGTAAGTCAACATCACCCCTGTCTTTCTCCTCTGACGGACATTACCATCCTCCTCGACCTCCACGACAGTGTGCCCCCCCCGCCCCCCTGGGCGGGCGTACTCTTATGTTTTGCATGCCTTAGCGGTTAGACCCTTGACCACGCGTCCTCGAGGTGACGGAGCATTGTTCCCACAGGACTGATCACCGATGGCCAATCCTTCCGTCCTACTTTGCCGAAGGTGGCTCAAAAATGTTTTCCCTAGTCTATCGATCCTATCGATATCACTTCCCGCCTTTTCAGCCCACTTCCTACACCCAAACACAGCGGCGGGGGCAGGCCATGTTCCACACTTTATTTATTACAACAGCATCCACAGTCTAAAAGTCGTAGCTTGAAAATTGGAAGCAAATCACGGTGTATGAAACGACCATTACTTGAAAAGTGCAGCTGCTAACCGTGGCACAAGGCGTTGTAGACGTGCGTACTCCGACGAAACGCGTGCAGCACATTAAGAATTGTGGTCGCTCGTCGCAGCTGTTGAACGTTGTCTCAACGAACATATGTCCTTTCTGCGCGTGCATCACATACAATCGCTTGTCTATCACTAAGCACTTTGATCTATGGAAATCAGTCCGAGTCCAAATGTTTTACCATTGTATGTATTTGCACGGCCTGGAGTGCCAATCGTTGCTGCACCGGTTACTTACCGGAGTGTGAGCACCAGCGTACGCGGCCAGCTCGAAGTTGAAGAGGTTGTCCATGAGTTTCTCCATCTCGTCGATGTCCCGCAAAACGCCTCGCCGCACGGGGTGATCGCCGGCGGCGACCGCTTCGTCGTCGTTACCCGTGTTTCCGTACTCCAGGTAACACTCCCGGCTCTACCGGTGGGTGATGATTGATGACGAAAAATGAAACTGAGCGAGAGGTTTACATGTATCTTCATCGTGATAACAACGTTGTTGGGGACGAGGATGCCACTTGGACCTATGGCCTAATGTTGACACGTACCAACACAATTGATCGTTAAACGCTAGGCAACTGAGATCTATAAGACTCTTCAGTCAGAGCTGACTACTGCTGTCGCCTGTTATGAGGGGAAATCCTTTCTAACCGAAAAAAGGCAAACCAAGGTCAGCACTAAGTCTAGACTAAGCCAGGCTACTACTGTATGTGCAGAGGTTTACCCTTCCTTGTTCGTGTTTGTTTCAGACCGTTCGCTTGCATTTGTGTCTTTGTGTTTTCGTCCTATTTATTCTGGGTGCCAGACTTCACCCGGTACATGTTTTGACGCACTAGCCAAGGTCACACAGACAGACTACCAGCAGGAGGCATTCGGATGGAGCGTTCCCGCCGCCGCCGTAGATCATGTACGTACGTACGTGGCACGCACATCATGTACTCGCGTAATTTACAGCAAATTAGCGAAGACTTTGCGAACCATATGCACTTGGCAGTTATTTGTTGTATTTGAGTGCGGGCGCTGAACGGTATGGTTTACGTACATGCATGTACTGCTGTACTGTCCTTTGGCATGCATCGTACAAGTACGTGTTCTGAGTTCTGAGGAGTGGCGGGAACGACAGGAGAAGGATCTCGTAGAACATCAAGGTCACGATGTTTGCTAACCTACAATTGGGGGAGCGGGACGAGGGCGTTGTTTTAGGTACGTGTACCTCGGGACGCCTTGCGCGATAGGTGGATAACTCCTCCACGGAGAGGTGCAGATCTTCTGCGACCGAGGGGCAAACAGCTCGCGGCATGTCCTCTCCGGAGAAGCCCGCCTTCGCGCTCGAGCTTCCAACATCGATCACAATTGTCGCTTCTTCTTCGGTACGATGGTTCACCATCCTACGTACCTTCGCCGTGATACCTCAGGAAAATGTGTATAGATGTACGTACTGGCTGTGAGAACGTTTCCTACGAACCAAGCTCCGCCTGCTGCGAGATCGGCCAGAGATCTTACTCGCAGAAGACTCGATCTTCCGTCATGGAGTATTGTTTTTCTTTTTCTGGATTTGGGGTTTTCATTCCGTCCAGACATATGCGATTTGGTTCGTTTTGGTTCTGAACCCGTTTTTCTGCACTCAGTCTGGTCCTCCCGCCTGACCTCAAATCTCACGACCTCCATGATAGAGCGACATTCGATATGTGCAGAGGTCTAGCCCAGTTCGTGGCGCTGGTGTCTGTTTTACCCTCAGCTAGAGGCTGGCAGTTCGCACTTAGCCCTCGTTTCGCTGGGAAAACCCCGGGCACCCGACTTAGACGTGTTCAGAGCATGGACATGAAAATGATCAGCGTTGACGACATTTGGCCACAGCTCGCAGGGAAAGAGACCTGCGCCAACGAGGCTGCCGGGAAGGTAAAACGGTGCGTTGGGTTAGGGTTGTGTGGAATTCTTGCGACGTATGCACAGCACCTGGCTTGTCGAACAGATGAATGGACCACCTCTAAAATACTGCTGTACACATGGTGCGGCTTCACCCTCCCTGTGTGACAATCTCCTCTCGAGACCAGGTAATTCGAGCAGCCTGGGCTGTAGCCACTACCAACCCTGACACAACAAACGGTAGAGGCGCGTCTTCTTCTTCTGCCTCTTGGAGTATCAGACGCAGCGTCGTGGAGTACAACGACGGGGACACAGCCCTCCAAGGCCTTTACACAAGACCCGAAGGCGAGGGCCTTCCCGACCGGCTTCCTGGCGTCATCCTTGCGCACACCGCAGTGGGCCCGCAGGAAGGTTAGTTTCGGCTGGCTGTGGATATCATACAACGTCATGCAAGCAAACGGTTGCGCTTGCGCTGCATCCGAATCGCGCATGATCAGGTGTGGCCTCTCTGTGTAGTCTATATGAGTGAGGACCACTCGCGCTGGCTACGTATCGGAGTTTGGGCTGCCGTTCGAATTCCTGTGGCGCTTTCCAAGCTCTTCCTACACCGGATGTTTCCTAGCCTCGTTATTATACTTCAATCCTGGTCCATTTCGTGGGTTCTATTATTATCGAACTTACGAGCGTTGTTGCATGTCACATACTTTCCTCCTGAAAAGAGCCGGTGGCGTCCTCGACCGTGTGCCCTTACCCTGAACCAAAAAGCAGACATGATTCTGTGGAAGCTGGATCAGATTGCCCTTCTCGGCTACGCGGCGTTCGCTCTCGACATGTTCGGCACGGGGCGTGCCCTGTGGAACCGCGCCGAATCCCTTGCGGCGAGAAGGCCCATCACCGAGGACCGATCCCTCATGCAGGTGTGCAAATCACTCTCTGGATTGGGTAGTCTGGTCGGCTCCTTGAAGACGAACGAACGTGCTTGGAAATTTAGCAGGTGTGGCGTGTCGTACTGTATGGCTCCGGCCAAGGAGTGCCAGAGGTCGAAACTCCAACGTGTTGAGCTTGTAGGGTTCACAGGGCCATGCGTGCGTATTGAGGGAGGCTTTTGCGAAGATGGTAGGGCAGATGTGCTTTTTCAGGCGGAAGTCTACGGTAGTGCTCATAGATACATTTTTTTGAAAGAGACGGTTCGCGAAGCAATACTAAGAACATATGTACGTGAGAATAGCGGAAGCGGTTTGCATTTTATTCGCCTGTTTGGACCGGTTTTCGGGAAACGAGTAACAGAAATAAATCTTGGATTTCCCCGTGTCACCATATTTTGGCCGTTTGTCCCGCGGGCTACCTGATGTTGTTGGCTGGTCTTCAAAGTACGGGATGGCTATAGCTTTCTCAAGTACCCTACTCCTAGATTCTCCACGCTACGATACCTGCTGGCAGACTCCTGAGGAGAGAGCAAAAGTGGGATACTGCAATGGTCGATTTGCACCAAGTTGAGGTTTTCTGATGGGTTTGCTGACATAAACAGATATTCAGTAGAGACCTTGACGGTCGAGATCAAGCTGCGTCCAAGGTCCCCTTTGAGCACACCCGATTTGAGATACAACCGGCGACCAAGCTTGAGAGACAGAGAGAAAGATAGAGGGAGAGACAGAGAGGCCGAGAGAGAGAGAGAGAGAGATGTTCGGTCTTCATGTGGTATATGAGGGCCTCTGATGCCGTAGGATGATGGCCGGCGATAGATCGTTTCGCTTGGGGGTGTGCCCTTGCCCTTGTGTCCTGATGGGGTTCACTTCAGAAAAACCTTTTTGATAGATCGAGAACTCACAGCACGTGCCTTTTAACAGTACGGGCAAGTGGAGCTCTTCGATTGTTTACGTTTCCCGCTTACTTTCCCTGTCGCGTGCATGCCGAATACCGCAGGCACGTGCGACGGCGGCTGTCCGAACCCTCAGCCAGATGGAAGGGATTGATGAAGAGAGGCTCGCGGCGGTGGGGTAAGCAAGGTGGATCTGCAAGCGTTGTATATTGTTTCTTCAAGGGCAGTGATAGCAATATCCTTGAGCCATCTTCGCGAGTTTGAGACCGCTTTTGCTTTCACGTTTGCAGGTTTAGAGTGAGTTGTGGCCCAGATGTATCGCTGCGTTTCACACGACGACAAATAACGCGCTTCTGGTGCTGAGTTTGTTCCAGCACAGGCCGTCTCTCACCGGGTCACTCTTCAAATAGGTTGGTCCAAGTGTTGCCTTTTACAATTTACGACAAACGGACGTGTTTGTAACTGACGCTTAACGCGACAGATACTGCTTCGGGGGCATGACAGTCTTGGATCTCGCGAGGATGGTACGCCCTGACGGTGACGATGCCGGTGCAAACACGCCTCCGCGGCTTAAAGCGGTGGCGTCCCTGCACGGGATCCTAGCGCCGATTTCGCCGGGGACAGGGGGAGAGGACGGTGCGGGTCTCGCAGCGGATGACGCCGCGCTTGCTGTGCCAAGGGTGCTGGTCTTGCACGCAACGGCGGACCCGTTTGTGCCGCCAGAGCAGGTAGATGTGATTTTGGTGACAAGTTTCGGCGGCTCTCTCATAGCGAGGCGGGGGGTGTCAAACACAGCTGACCCCGCTGTATATTGCCCAGACGAGTTCGGTGAACATGAGTTGCACCTACCCTACGGTAAGCGCTTAAGGGTTCCTGGAACAGGACGTCCTTGTGTTGCCGCCCTTTCCCATGATTTAGGGGCCCGACCGTCACATCGGCGCGGGGGGCAGCTCGAAGCCTTCCTCGTCACCCACGACCTGCTGGCTTGTTGGAACGTATCGCTGAAACTTCGATGGACATCATCGAGGACTACAATGTTTGAGGGGGCCGTCGCCCGGCTATCGGCTACGTACAGCTCGTGCACGTCTCACGGCAGCCCGTGGGGATAGTGCCATGTCGTTTCGGCAAATGATCGCGCCGTAGTATGTGGGTAGTACAAGACGAACCTTAGCAGCCCAGCAGATGCTTGTGGTTGCGGCATCAGCAGCCGAACTATTCTAGCCCCCTCACACCTCTCCTTACCGTATCTCGTTCCACTTGACTCTCGCTCCCGAGGTGCGAGCGATGGAAGAGGAATTATCGCGGCGAGGGGCAAGGCTCGAGGTCGTCCGGTACGGCGGGAGTGCCATGCACGCCTTCACGAGACCCGAAAAGACGAGTCAGGTCGACAGGGACGCGGGCCTGTCGTACTGCAAGTACGCCGAAGAGGACTCGTGGCGGAGAGTCGTGGAGCTACTGCGGGAGGAGTTTGCGTGAAACCAGATTGGTATGGTATCGTCACTGGGGTATTGCCTTTTCGACCTTTTCTTTTCCATTCTCAACTTCGTTTTTCATTGCGTTTTGACTAGGCGACTTGCTAAGGAATCATCACATCGCCGACGTTGTTTCCTCTAGACGCGTTTCGTTGGCCCTCGACGGTCCGCGGAGAGAGAAAGAGAGAGGGCTCGCGCGCACTCGCTGTCTTTTCCTTTCACAATCACGTCACAGCGTGGCTAGAGAGGAGAGCGTATGTATGACAATGTCCACCCTCCAGGGCGCCGTGTCTTCTTGAGCGTCTCGCGTTGCCAACATTTTGAAGCTTTCGGGAGGTCATTGTCCCGCGTGAGACCCCACAACAAACCGGCAACGTAAGACCGCAACAAGTATGTATAGCGCGCTAATTTAGCGACGGGAACTTTTCCGATACGTACTATGCATACTTGTTACATGATTAGGTTTCAACAAGGTCTGCCCGGTCGTTCACCCGAGACTAAGCCAAAGAGTTTCGAGACCAAGAACTCATACGTGTGAGTCAACGCGCCGGCATGCACAACTGCAGCGGGAACCTGGCAATGAGCGCCTCCGACGTGCCGAAAACCAACGTCTGTTCGTTGATGAGGACGGCCCCCACGGCTCCAGCAGTACCCCTCACTCCCCCTACGAGCTCCCACCTCTGCTGCTGCTGCTGCTGACGCCTGGTCTGCCCGCTGCCGAGGTTGTCTCGCTCCGCTTCTTCGTCGCCATGCTCAGCGTTGCTGGTTATGGTTGGTGCCCACAGCTTAACCGTGGCATCCCCGCCGCCGGTTGCAAAGGCACCGGAGAGAGATGACCCATGCACCGCCCAAACCCCATGCCTGATTATTGTGGGCCCGGGTGCGATCATTCAGAGAGATTTGGGTCAGAAACGCGGGTTTTCTGATATATGTGCGAAAGATCACGACAGTCGGTTTCTGTTCTCCGCAAATGTACCATGCCCACGAACGATGGTGATTGTAACAATGTTGGCCTTGGATTGGGTGAGAGCTTGCCCTTGCGGGGCGGGTCAGCCAGGCGCGCAAACGACGGCGAGGACAAACTTTAGGTCCTGATACCTCATGTTCACAATATAATTTTCTCTAGTTCGCTCGTACGTAGTTGTATTCCGGTCTCCAATCGCTTCCCCCTTTCGATCGGTATGGTTTTGGGGTCTTGCGGCGACAACGCGAATTGCTACTCGGTGACAAAACAAACAGTGTCAGAGTACAGCAGCCTCCCATCCCCCATCCCACATAAGAGACAAGTGCACAGTTTTTAGCCCAAGAACGATACCGATTCCTCATCATGTAGAACGAGAGCCCACACACCCACCTGTGTCCTTCAAGTACCGCACGACACGTCCAATCTCTCTCTCCCTTGTCATCAACACCGTGTTGTCCCCAAACTCTGGCAGTGCCGTCGCCAGACCCGCTAACAATAAGGGCCTCCTCCCCCGCTCTCTTGGCATAACCGTGGCCTCCTTGTGGCCAAGAAACGGTGCAAATCGCCCCGACGGTACCGCCATGGCCACCAAGAACGGCTTGGCAGGTTAGGGTGTCCTGGTCCCACACTCTGTTAGGCATGATCGATTAATGGAACCAAGGGGAAAGCGTAAATATCTGGCGCTCATATTTCGCATGTACGTATGCAAAGCATCGAACCGTAAGCAGGGGACAACCAGTAAGTAGAACAGGAGATTTTAGTTTGGAAAGCATTCAGAGATTTTTCCTGAGGGAGACGAAAGAGTTCGTCACGACCCAGTGGAAAGGAGGACACGGGCTATTATTTCGCCCCACGTGCCGATTGGTGGGGACGTTGTTTGCCCGGAGTAGACAAGTCCCTTGCAACTTTGTGCCGTGTAATACCGCGAAAAAATAAAGTTTCCAGCATGTTGAGCATGCTTTGGGTGCACGTTTTCCCTCTTGCCTGAGAAACGTGTCGTGTGAACCCGAAACCAAGAGATTTTCGCCCTCAAGCGATGCCAGGGCGGACACAGCCAGCAAATGGCCCTCGAGGATGCCGTGCCTCCTCATGCGCTTAAGCTCCACGATCTCGACCCCGGGGTTCGATGTCGCCACAGCAAGGAAGTCTCCCGCCACCACCACATCCCGCACAGCCGAACGCTGGACCGTGAAGAAGGCGTGCACCGGCATGTGTGCCAAGAGGCTCGTGTGAATCGAGGTTGGGTTTGTTTTTGAATCTGGGGTGTTGATTGTCGGCATCTCGTGGGGACTGTTGCACGGGGAGGAGTCACGAGCCATGTGTTAGAATGCACAAGCAAACAAGTCCAGCTACACTACACAACGAACGCCGCTGTTGCACACAACGCGGCTCGGCCCCTTTTCTGGGCAATCTTACCAGATCGAGAACTCTAAGGGACTGAGCTGTCTCAATGTCCCAGAACCGGACGGTGCCATCTGCACTACCCGTGATCAGCGTGCGGCCCGTGACCTGCATCCCCCATACAGCTCCCTGGTGACCCTTGTAGGTGGCAAGGCATTGTTGAGAGTAGGTATCCCAGGCCTAGACACCATTGTCGACGGACAGCGTTCATGACCACCACACGATCGTAAGGGCAAGGTTTAGGCAGAATGCGGCACGTGGCGTGGGGTCAATAAAGGAGAGGGTCACATTGCTCCTTCGTGACCTGATAACGAGATACATAGGTTAGACGAACGACCAATAGATGCTACAAACGGAGACCAAGAGGGTTGATTCACCTTCGCGGTGCCATCAGCTGACGCTGAAAACAAGATATCCTCGCGGCGGGCTAGAGCCAACACCTGCTTGCTGTGCCCAATGAACACGGAAGACCGAAGCCTCGGGTCTCCTTCTCCCCTTCTGCTGTCCGCCGGCGGCATCCTTCCGCCTCTCTCTTTCCGGCGCGGCCTTCCTCGCGCCTGCATGTCACGCACGCGGCTTCTCATTGCGGCAACTGGTTCAAGAGGAGCCCCTCCTTGTTCTACCGTCTCTCTTTCGGCGTATGGTCGTTGACCTCCCATCTCCCGAGGCGACCGGTGGTCGTTCCTGCGTGGACGAGGAGGAGAAGCGTCCGACTCCGATCCAAAGACCGACGATCTACCTGTGGGTGAAAACGAAGCGCGTTCTCCTCCACGTTGCCTGGATGAAGCATCGGGGGCGCTACCAATCCCTGTTGTTGTGGTATTCCGGTGTTGTTGTTCCCGTGGATTGTGTTCCGCCTTGGAAAAATGGGCGCCTCTCCATCTTCCCGCGGCGGCTGGCTCGACCTCGCCGGATCTCTCTGACTGTCGAGCCACGGTGGTTTCTGTCGTTGACGACGAGTACGACGGATCCCCACCGCCCACAGAGAACACGGCTGTTCCGGGCCGACGCCCCGAATTCTCGCCGCCACTGCCGCCGCCGCGGCTAGATCCGTGGTGAGGTCCTTGACTGTACACTTGACGGCTTCTTGACGGATCGTTTGCACCGCTGCTGTGGGCGCTCTCAGTGAACAGGTGCCGAAACGAGGGGTGCACGACGTATGCGCTGTCGTCGGCACCGCTTTCGCCGCTATCGCGTGAAGAAGGGCGGCGGCCTGCAGGGTACCAGGGCCGCTTGTTGGGGGAATTGCTTCGGGGGGTACCCGGTACGGAAAGAGAGTTCCACGAGGGTGACTCCCCTCCGGGAGCGACGCTGGTACTCACTGGGCTCGTCAGCAACGGCGGTCGCACCCCGGCACTACTGCTGTTTCTGTCGATGTCGAACTTTCGTTGAGGTTGGGGGTCTCTTCGCCGAAGCAGTCCCCTTCGTTTGTACGGGTTGGACGACATTGAGCAATCTGGCGAATCGTTCGCAGCAGCGACGGCGGTGGAGTATGACTGCCCGCGGCTGAGAGGGGCGCTCCAAGATTGGTTGCCCCGTATTGCCGTCGTCAGCATGTTTTCCAGAACGTCCCGGTCGTTTCTCTGTCGGGACTAGATATTTTTATTTCCTGTCGGCCCTGTCGCGCTACAAATGTCTCCGTTAGACTCACTGGTGATGGCACTGTTGTGCAGGCACCTGCGTGAGAAGTTGCCTGGTTCACGTACGGTAGTGCGTAGCTTTTCTCGCGTAGCGGAAACCGGCTATTGCAGCAGTGCCATTAGGTGTCCGCCGTACAGCGTAGATTGAAGGGGAGGTATGTACCTGCAAATGGCAAGCAAAAGGTGTATCGTCGAATACGTCTCTGGTCCGACGGTAAGTTGTGGGGTCATGATATACTGCAGAGGATATGATGGCGTACAGCGTGGATGTAGGCTACACATGCACTTGAAGTACGATCTCGGGAACTGCAATGTCTGATATTGTTGTGGTGATGCATATTGCATAGCCTACTGAGGTTCATGTAAAGTAGGTAAACGGTTCGTGTTCACCCTCTTCCTTTCTGGCCGACAACTTTTGTGTCAATGAAGCTGTTCACAAGTTGATATACGCAGCAACGATTCAGGAGTCATAATGGATAAGATCAAAGCCCTTAAGAGCAACGCACATCAATAGTTTTAGGTACTCGTGCAATCTGTACCTCTAGAATACCAGCTACAGCGCACATGGATATGGGCGGAATTCATCCGCGAACGGGAGCTTACAGGCGAACTCACCGCGGAGCGACCGCCTACTATGCATATGAACAGACGTGAACCCGGAGCTCGATTGATACACCGAGGAGATCGCTGATCCCGCGTTGTGCTGCGCGACACTACCGCTGGCCACGGTGCCTCGGATGCAAGATATGACAGCAGTGCAAGGAAATGTGTCTCGTGCCTCATAGGATCGCACGCACGGACGCACGGCTGATTTGCCCCGCGTTCCCGACCGCGGATCCCCCCCCCCCCCC